CGAGGAAGAAATCTAATTTAAAATGTGCTTCACACAGAGTGGCTGAAGTGAAGATCCCTAGGTGAGAATTCACACTCCTAAAATAACCCGTAGGATACAATGACAGGTTTGGAAGGTGCATACTTCTATGCTGGTGTTGTACTTGGAAGCTCCTTCTGGTTAAGCAGAGTGGACTTCTTCTGACAGAGATCACCCACTGATCCTTTGCCACTTACTATCCAGTTCTCTGAGATAGGATTTGAATCCACTATGACCTCCTAGCTGTCTAAATCTTCAAAGTTTCCTCTTATTGAGAGACAGAAAGAGTACTAGAAATGGCCAGAAAGGATGGCCCACTTCTTTGCTAATCAGCATTTCAAGACATGACATAAAGATTACTTGCAGATGAACATTTTCTAATTTGTACTCAGTCTTACCAATGTGTTTCAGAAAGGTAAACACAGCAGCTTCCACTTCAGGTATGACTTCAACTTCAAAATCTCCGTGAGTTTTTGACAGACCACTAATGTTCTCCACCAGCAAAATCAGGAGATACTCGTTCTCCAGATCTTGGAGATTTTTAAGTGCCACCAAAATGGGAACATTTTCAGAGCCTTTGCACATGTCCTCTGTCTCATTCAATCTTCTGTCCAGTGGGAGCTCTGGGTCCCGGTCTTCTGATACATCTACTTTTAAGGACACAAAAACATCCATAATGGGCATCACAGTCTTTCCGGAGTGAGAGGTTATAATACATGCTTCTTTTTATATTACTTTCCAATATTTTGAGTAAATCAGCTGAAAATAGATGTTCTCTGTAACTAAAAAGGGCAATGAGCTTGCCCAGAAAACCCAACAATCCCTCAGACCAATGTTTACTTTAGGTTAAATTTTTAATGTCTAGTCAATGGGGTTTTCCCTTGTGCCCACTAGGGGGAGAAAACATGATAAAAAAACCAGAATAACAGCTGGGCCTCATCAATACAAAGAAAAACAAATCAGATCTTCTCAGGAAAGAAAAAGAAACATAGTTGGGAGGAAGCATGGTGTGGAATAATGAACTAGAAAACTGGATTGAAATGAACACATTCAGATTCGTTGGCTGGTTCTTACTCATTCTTGCCTTGCAATCCTAAGTCATTCATATACAAGACTACTGAAAATCAGGTAAAGGAATGCTGACATTTAATGAGGAAAAAATATTTACTTGCTGTATGTACATCAGACTCATTTAGGATGAAGTGTTACCTTGTTCTTTGGCTCTGTCTTTGATATTGGATTCCTAAAGGCCAAACAAAAAACAAGCATTAAGGAGAATTCCTTTACACTGAGAAAGCATGTCTTGGATCAGCCTAGAACACCTGCATGAAATAAATATATTCAATTCTGTAGTTACCTAAGATCAACAAATTTATTATGCATAAATCCTACTGTACCTATTCACTGGGCACCTTACACCTTAAAGTACTGGGTTCACTTCTGGGGTCCATATTTGAATAGAGACTGTTTGACAAAGTGATGAGTATTCATCAGAAAGGTATCAGAAAGGAAGGGAAGGGAACAGAGTCTATTAGCCTGAGTGAAAGAAATAGGAGTAGGGACTAACTGGAGAAGAACATGAGAGGTGTGGACAGTACATGGTCCCTCATACTCTAGGTGAGGCTTTCTGCCAAGATGACTCATTGAAATGAGTTAGACTACCTGGTTCCCACATTCTTGTACTTACAAAACCCTGAAATTCTCAAGAGATTGAATAACAATTTAAAAAATCCAATAAAAACTAGAGTAAATGACTTCTTCCTCACCAGAGTTGCATATTAGGTCCACCAGAATCCAAAGGCAATAAGAAAAGTGAACTCGAGGAAAGCCTCTGTGAGCAGTGATGGGCCAGAGGCATGTATAGCCTATAAAGTTTTGAAACTAGAGGCAGCATAAGTGAGGGGCTCCCCAATAAAGCCTTGGACTGAACTGAAAGCCCTAGCATGGAGATCTTGTAAGGATTAGGAAGCAGCAGTGGCCAGCAACCAGCCAGTGTCACAGGGCTCAGACTGGAATACCCTAGTGATCTGAGGTCACTTTTTCCTGAGGTGCCACAAATGGCCCTGAATATCCAATGCTCTGAATCTTGAAGATCCAGGAAGGGATCTTCATGAAGTGGATGTCAGTGTAACAACCCAGGTGACCTAGAGGAAGACCAGGCAGAATAGGCCACATCACTCAAAAGCCCAACAAGTTAGTGGAGCTGGCATTAAGCTCCAATTCAGGAATTAGAGCTGGCAAGATGAGTCATTCAAATATAAAATTTGACTAGTATAAAAATTATTGCAAATCTACAGATTTCCTCCCAAAAGAAGGAGAGAGTAACTTTAAAACAACCACCAGCAGAGACTCAAACGAAAAAACGAGTTTTCCACAAGGAGTAACTATGTAAATACCTAACAAAAATGAAGCAAGAGATAATAAAAAAAAAAATTTAAGCTCTGAAAGAAAGAATGGGAAGAAAAGTAGTAAGTCTTCCTAAATAACAGTTGGTGGCACAGTGGAGAGAGTACTGGACCTGGAATCAGGAAGACCTGAGTTCAGATGTGACCTCAGACACTTTCTAGATGGGTGAGTCACTTTACTTTTGTTTGCCTCAATTTCTTCATGTGTACAATGGAGATAATAAAAGTCTCTACCTCCCAGAGTTGTGGCAAGGATCAAGTCAGATAATTATCACAAAGTGTTTAGCACAATGCCTGATATATAGTAGGTGCTAAATAAACATTAGCTGTTGTTATTATGAAACCTAGAATAGATGAAACAGAAGGCAATAATGACATGAGACAGCTAGATTAGAACAAAATCAAAATATTGAAAAAATAGAAAAGTTATGACGCCCAATATAAACAAAAAATAAATGGAACTAAAAAACAGGTCAAGGAGAAATAATTTAAAAGTCTTTGGACTCCCCAAATGATAATAGAAGTAAAATGTCTGGAGGTCATCTTTCAAGAAAAGTCTAGATGAAGTCCAGAAGTCTAAATAAAGTTAGAGAAAATCCACTCATAGATTCCTTGAAGAAAAGCCAAAAGGAAAAGCCTCAGGAACATTAAAGCCAAAAATTCAAAGAGGTTAAATGACTTGCCAAGCAAGAGCCAAGCTGGATTTGAACTCAGGTCTTTCTGACTCCAAGATCTCTACTCTATCCATTGCACCATCTAGCTCTTTCTGCTCTGAGAAAAGAGCACCTCTCTACTCCTGACTCTGTACTGTCTCTACCATTCCTCACCTGGGAAGTACACTCCACCCTTGAGGCCCCTTTATTTTTCTTTAAACGTTTGACAAAATTCACTTAAAAATGCAAATGGCCCTGGGTTGTTTTTTGTTTGTTTGTTTATTTCCTTGCATGGCTGGTTTAATTTCTTTTTCTAAAATAAGGTTATTTATGTCCTCTAATTTCTGTTTTGTTAATCTGGGCAATTTATATTTTTGTAAATATTCATCCATTTCATTTAAATCATCAGTTTCATAAACATATATTTGGGCAAAATATTTCCTAGTAATTTATTTCTTTATTGGTTGCAAACTCACCTTTTTCATTTTTTATAATGGTGAGTTAGTTTTCTTCTTTTGTTTTTAAATCAAGTTTGCTGATTTCTATTTTTATTAGTTTTCTTTAAAAAAAAACCCAGCTCCTAGTTTTTACTAATTCAGTGAGGTTTTTTTCTTTTTATTTGTTGATCTCTTCAGTTATTTTCTGGATTTATATTTTGGTGTTTAATTGAAAATTTTTACTTTATTGGTTTTCAAAATTTTTAATTTCTTGTCTAATTTATTGATCTGCTATTTCTCTGTTTTGATCAAGGTATTTAGAGATATAAAAATTTCCCTAAGTACTGCTTTGGTTTCATCCCCCGAATTTTGATATGTTATCTTATTGTTGTTATTATATTTAATGAAATAATTGATAGTTTCTATGATTTGTTATTTGAACCACACAATTTTAGCATTAAGTTCATTTCAAATTAATTTTTAATCTGTTTCTAATGTTCTTTATTGAATATAATTTTTTCATATAACAAAATAATTCTGCTTTTCTGCATTTATGAGGTTTTTATGCCTTAACACATGGACAATTTTTGTTAAGGTGCCAATCATGGCTGAGAAGAGATATATTCCTTTCTATTCTGATTTAATATTCCCTAGAGTCCTATCATATCTAACTTTTTCAAAATTCTATTTAAGTCCTTCATTTCTTTTTGTTAGATTTATCTATATCAGAGAGGACTAAGGTGAGGTTCTCTACCCCTGCAATTTTACTTTCCATTTTTTCCCTTATAATTCATTTAATTTTCCCTTTTAGAGTTTAGATTCTATGACATTTGGTAAAAATGTTTAGTATTGGAATTAATTAATTTTCTATCATGCCCTTCAGCAAAAGTTTCTAATCTCTTTTAATTAGGTCTATTTTTGCTGTTTCTTTGTCTAAGACCATGATTGCCAACTCTTGACTTCTTTTTTTAACTTCAGCTAATCTATGATAGATTCTATTCCAGAACTTAATTTTAAATCTGTATGTATCTTTCTGTTTCAAGTGTGCTTCTTGTAAACAATATATTGTTGGATTCTGGTTTCTAATCAATTGTATTATCCTCTTCTATTTGACAGGTAAGTTTATCACATTCACATTCATAATTATGACTGTTAATTATGTATTTCTGTCTTATTCTCTTATACTTTTTCTTCTGTTTTCCTGAGTTTGTTTTGCTTTTGACTAATCGTTGAGCTATTTTGCCCAACTGCATGCCAATAAATTTGATAATCTTAATGAAATGGATGAATATTTACAAAAATATAAATTGCTCAAATTAACAGAAGAGGAAATAAAACACTTAAACAATCCCATTTCAGAAAAAGAAATTGAACAAGCCATCAATGAACTCTCTAAGAAAAAAATCTCCAGGGCCAGATGGATTTACAAGCGAATTCTATCAAACACTTAAACACTATCAAACCTCATTCTTATTCCTTTCCCTTCCCTTCTCACAGCCTCTTTGCCTCCTGTTTCCCTGTGAGGCAAAATGTGTTTCTGTATCCAACTATTTGTGTGTATGTGTATTCTTCCATCCTTTGACCAGTTCTGATCAGAGTAAAGTTCAAAAGTGCTGTTTCCCACTCTACCCTTCTTATTACGTAGACTCTTACTTTTGGTTCAGTCATTTCAGTCATATCCAACTCTTCATGACCCCATTTGGGGTTTTCTTGGCAAAACTACTGGAGTGGTTTGCCATTTCCTTCTCCAGCTCATTTTACAGTTGAGGAAGTGAGGCAAACAGGGTCAAGTGACTTGTCCAGAGTCACACAGCTAGTGTCTGAGGCTACATTTGAACTTAGGAAGATGAGCTTCTCAGTGCTATATCCACTGTGCCACCTAGCTTCCCTTAGACTCCTACTTGCATATTCCACTTATGTTAGATTTCAGTACGATGTGTTTTCTAGATCTTGGTAGAAGAGGTATGGTGGGGGAACTGTGTGGTACTTCTTTCTTTACTCAGCCATCTTGGCTGTTATGGGAGTTTGTTTTGCTTGTTTATGAATTTTTTAACAAGGATTTTGTTTTCTTTTTTAATGGGGAAGAAAAGCGAAAGAAAAATAAAAGCTTATTAATTGAAAAATAGAAATATCATTTTAAAATTGAATTGAACTGAATTCCTCATAGGCAGGTCTCCATTCATGTTCTAGGTTTGAAAATTATAATATTCATTGCTTTTCTCCATCCTCTAAATATATTTATCCCACCTTGGGGCTCCTTCAGTTCAACAAACATTACTAGGCATCTATTTTGTGTAAGGCCGTGCTCTAGGTACTTGGCATACAAAGAAGGAAATGTTCCTACCAGCAAACTTATATTCCACTGGAAGGATAAAATAGGAATAAGTGAGTGAAAAAGTATACTAAATAATACAAAGGGATTTTAAGAGATAAGGACATCTAACACCTGGGGGAAGGCGGATGGGAATCAGGAAAAGTTTTGTCTGTGAGGTGACAACTAAACTGTTAGAAATAAGACCTTAGAAAAATAAAGCCTTCTAGTTAAAAACTAAACTAAGCTCGGAGTGAGTGAAAAATCATTTGTTATACTTCTCAAAAGAGAAGCGGTACAACTCACTTTAGTAGCACGTGGGCACTGGTTCAGTGGTAGAATCAACTTTTAAACCATTAGTAAGATCCATACTCCACCCATCAGGGCTCCTATTGGTCTAGTTCATCTGAGTTACACCCTTCCTGGACAGCACATAGCATGTTCATCCATGTTCTGTTAACTCCACCCACTTCATGGGTCCCAAGTTCAAAAATGGCTGCTATCTCCGCCCTTGGGGTGTGTCAGTTCATATTCAATAAGCTTATTAAGCAAGCACAGTGGAGAAAAGCCTTTGCTTGGTTGAAGCCCCATCCGTGAACCCAGCTGGTTGCAACCGGTTTAGCCTCTAGGACTCTTTCTTAAGAACTAATTGTTTACAGAAAAGTTTGGAGTACTTTCTGATTGGTTGAGGGACTATCCACAAGATCTTAGAATTTCTTATCCTGCTGTGGAAGCCCAACCCCCTAAAATCTTTCTTACAAAACTATGCCTTGAAGGAAGACAGGGATTCTGGGAGGCTGAGAAAGAACAAGGAATGTGGTGGTCTTAGTTTTCTGTTCCCTCTACAACATTGTTCTAGCTTTGTAACCCCTATCAGCACTTGCCTTTTTCAACATGGCCAAGGATTCCTACTTCTCTCTTTCATACCTTTCTCCTGCTTCCATGTACCATATTTCTCCTGAACCCCAGCCCAAATGCCTGACAAAATAACCAGCTTCCTTTTTTGATCATACGTAAGACATATTTACTTCTGTTGGGATTTGTTCTTCATTGCCTTCATCCTCATCCTTTGCTGTAGGCAATCTGACAGTGAGCTTCGACTTTTCTTCTCCTGGCAATTCTAACTCATGATTCTCTCTCTCCAGGACTCGTTGCCTTGCTGAAAAGTATGAGTGAAACCAAGATTATACTGTGGTAATCTTTAAAAAGGAAAAAGGTTGTACTGGTTTTAAACCCTATTTTTATTGATATCTTTTGCTTTGCCATTAGCTGTATTTCCAAATGTGATTACCCCTCCCTTATCCAGTGAAACACGCCTTGTAACAATGAATAAAAAATAAAGAGGTGGAAAAGCAGTTTGACAGAATCAGCAAACTGTGTCTCATGATATCTGCAATATTCTATACTCATTGACCTCTGTAAAGAAAGGAATGAGGAGCATTTTCTCAACTCTCCTCAACATTGAAGTTGGTCATTATTACAAAAGAAATAACCTACTAAAATGTCCATACTTTTTTAACTCATAAATTCCTCAGCTAGGCCTATACTCCAATACGAATAATCATTATAGCTAACATATATGAATCACTTACTACATGCCAGGCACTGGGCTAAGCCCTTTACAATTATCATCTCATTTGATCCTCATAACAATCCTAGGAGTTAAGTGCTATTATCATCCCCATTTTACAAATGAGGAAACAAAGGCAAATAGAGATTAAGTGACTGGCCAAGGTCACACAGTTAACAAGCATCTGAGTCTGATTTTAAATGCAGGTTTTCCTAACTCCAGGCACAGCATGTCCAAGCATGTCACTGAGAAAAAGAAAGTCTCCATATATACCAAAATATTTAGAGTGGTACTTTATGTGTCAGTAAAGAAGTGAAAATAAAGTAGATGCCCATTGGGGAATGAGTAAACAAATTGGGGTATATGAATTAATGGACTATCACCATGTTATAAGAAATGATAAATGTTAAGAAAACAGAGAAGTATGGGAAGACACATGAACTGAGGCAAAGTGAAGTAAGCAGAGACAAGAAGAAATAGATACACTATGACTACAATAATATAAAGTGGAAACAACAACCACTAAAAAAATTGAAAATGAATGTAGCAAATGGAAGGAATAAGACAAGCAGAACAGATTTGAAAGCTACGGGTTGTATTTATTATATTCTTGAAAAGAAAGAGTAGCTCTACATAATAGAGTTTTAAAGTCTCATGTTAGCCCCAAAGAAGAGATAGGAGAAGACAACCATATCCTGTCCTTTACAGAGGTGTAGGATGGGGAAGAAAGTGTGCAAGTTCCATAAATGTGGATCACTGCATATACTGTCAATTTTTTGGATGTGTTGATCAGCTTTGCTAACTTTTTCTTTTATTCCTCTTGTTATTTCTTCCCTTTAAAAATTTCTTTGTTATAAAATCAGCTTTCTGGGAGGGAGAGAGATAAAAGGGGAAATAGAGGCAATGTAAAAATGAAAGGACAATAAATATTTATATGCAAAAACATTACCTATGTTACTTTTCAGTGCCATACTTATTCAGTGCCAGACCAAGCAAGTTCTAATGTATTTCCTTGTGGAAATAGAAGAAAAAATAATAAAATTCATCTGGAGGAACAAAAGGTCAAGAGTATAAAGCAAAATAATGACAACAAGGGGCAAGATACTAGATCTTAAACCATACTACAAAACAGTAATCATCAAAACTACTTGGTAGAGAAGTTTATCTATGAAATAGACTATGTGTAGAAAATGCAGAAGTAAATGAAAATAGTAGAAAATAATAAGTTTAATAAAGATCCTAACTCTGGGGTAGGGACTCACTATCAGACAAAATCTGGTGGGAAAACTAGAAAACAGTCTGTTTGAAGTTAGGTACAGATCCAATCTCTTACAACATAGACAGAGGTAAGCTTTGAATGGATACATCTTAGATTTTAAAAAAAAAAGATATTTTGTAACCAAAATAGAGATATGAGGAAAAAAAAGATCTTTCTCAATTATGGACAGGGGAGGAGTTAACAGCCAAAAAGGGGATAGTGATACTTATTGTATTGCTAATTAATTTATGAAATTGTGAAATGGTGCAGGCATGCCCAGTTCTTTGGGTATTCATTGGGAAAGACCATGACGGTAGCAAGACGTGAGGCTGCAAACACAAGTTAATAATGCACAGAGGATGTAGGGAGAACAGGCACAGGAAGTACAGAGACAAGCAGTGGAAGGGGTATGGAGGCAGATGGTGTTGGAACAAGGGATGGGATGGAGAAAGAAGGCAGGAAGTGATAGGGAAAGGGGATGGGAAGGGGAAGAGGTAGAGAGTATTATTCATGTAACCACGGATTAGAGAGCACTAGACAGTGTGGACTCAGATGGAGACGGAAAAGCATTTGGAGGGACAGGGGTTTAGGGTCTCATTTTTATAGGGTTTTTGTGTGTAGAGGGGACAAACTAACTTATCAATGCCACCTTGTGGTTAGTTCATTAACATATTCAGATCATCTCAAGGTTGTCGGCAAAAATTTAAAGTTATCATCCATGTAATCCCAAAGTTATTAGTAAAATTTGGTGTTCTGCTGGTCTTACTGGGGATATCTGGAACTTTTCTGAGATCTCTATATCATAGGACCAAAAAACCCTGACAACAAATCATAGGTGGCTTCCTCTGACTCAGCACATATTACCAGGATGTGATTTTGGGTTAACATGACACAATTTGCAAATTATTCCCTTTCTAGGTTCCCCTTTGTCACTCTTACTTCCTGCCAGTGCTACTTTATACTGGTTACTTATAACAGATGAGAAGTGGGGCAGGGGTGGTCAGTGTGATCAGAACAAGACATAATTTTAACACACTTAACAAAAGATAAAATTGATAATTTTCATAACCTTGAATTAAAAAGGTTTTACACAAACAATACCAATGAAGATAAAAGTAGAAAGAAAACTTTTATCTAGGAAAAATATGTTCAGAAAAGTTTCTTGGCTAAAGGTCTCATATCCAAGATATATAAAGAACTAATAGGAACAAGAACCATATCCCAAATAAATAAATGACCCAAGCATAGAAACAGAGAGTTTGAAAAGGAAGAAATTAAAGTTATCAACAAATATGTAAAAAACAATATCAATACTTACAGGAATTCAAGTTAAAACAACATCAAGATTCTATTATGCACCCATAAAGTTGGCAAAGTTGACAAAAAGAGAAAATGACAAATGTTGGAGGTGATGTGAGAAAACAGGCATATTGACTCACTATTGGTGGTACTGTGAATTGGTTCAGTCATTCTGGAAAGCAATTTGAAATTATGTCTCCAAAGTCACTAAATTGTGCACACCCTTTGACCCAGAAATACAATTAAGCCTATACCACAAAGATATCAAAGGAAGAAGAAAAAGACCCTTATGTACCAAAAATCTTTATAGCAGCTCTTTTTTGTGACAAAGCAATGGAAACTATGAGGATGTACATCAATTGGGGGAAAGGCTAAACAAATTATGCTATATATGTGTGTGTGTGTGTGTGTGTGTGTGTGTGTGTGCATATACATATACATATATATATATGTAAAAGCATAATATTGTGCTGTCAGAAATGATGAAAGAGAACTAATACACACTTTTAGGGAGCAGAGCCAAGATAATGCAGGATAGGAAGCAGCTAAAGTCTCCCAATATTTCCCTCCAAACAACTTTAAAATAACACCTCAAATCAAATTTGAGAGTTATAGAGCCTATAAAGGTTAGGGTGAGACATTTTCCCAGCCCAAGACAACTTAGGAGGTAAGAAGAAGAGGTCTGTGACACTGAGGCTGATGCTGGCCTAGAGCTTACATGGCAGCCACACCAGCAGCTTTGGTAGCTCTCAAGCTGGAGATAGCTGGGGGATCAGGACACTTTTCAGAAAGAGACTTACAGTGAACCTCTGTGCTAGCATTAGGTGTAAGACAGGGCATTATTTGACAACTCCATTGCCTATACCCATTTCTGGGTCACAGTTTAAAGGAGGAAAGGAGTACTTGCTGTCTCAAGGGAGCTAGGACACTGAGGAGCAGTATTGCTTCCAGATGCAAGGAAGCAGCGAGTATATCTCTTCCTGGATGACACCACTTTGGAAGCACCAAAACTGTCCAAATCCCCAATATGAGTTCAAAAACAGCAATATAAAAAGCCTGAAGTTTGGGATAATGCCCTGCCCCCTCCACCCTGGGAATAGAGTCCAAATATAACATAAAATTCAAAGTCAAGAAATAGGCTAGAAAAAAGATCACAACAAAAGAGCCCGACCATAAAAACATACTATGGTGACAGGGAAGATGAAGACAGAAACACAGAAGACAATGTTGTCAAAATAGCTACAAGTAAATCTCAAAGAAAAATGTGAATTGTACACAAGCCAAACAAGAATTCTTGAAAGAGCTTAAAAATTATTTTAAAAATAAATGAGTGGTAGGAAAAATTGAGAAAAGAAATGAGAGCAATGCAAGAATATTATGAAAAGGCAATTAACAGCTTGGTAAAAAAAAGGAACAAAAATAATGAAGAAAATAACACTTTAAAAAAGAGAAATGGTCAAATGGAAAAAGAAGTGCAAAAACTCAATGAAGAAAATAATTTCTTAAAAATTAGAATTGGGCAAGTGGGAGGTGATGGCTCCATGAGACATCAAGAACCAGAAATGATAAAATAAATACTTTCAGAGAAAACTGGGAAGACTTATATGCATTCAGAGTGAAGTGAGTAAAGTCAGGAGAATAATTTATACAATAGTGACAACATTATAAAGAAAAACAACAATGAAAGAGTTAAGAATATTGATCAATGCAATGACCAATCATGATTCCAGAGGGCCATCTCCTGACAGAGATGATGAACTCAAATTTCAATATGAAAAACTACATTTTTTTTCAGATAACACCAATGTAGGAATTCATTTTGCTTGGACATGCATATCTCTTACAAAGATTTCATTTTTTTCTTTTTTCTTTTCAGTTTGGTGGAGGAAGTGGGGAGTTAAAAAATTAAAAAAGAAATAAAAGAGGGTCACTGAAGGAAATCTAGAAGGAATCACAAACAAACAGAACAGCTTTGAAACTTACTTGTTAAATATTCTCTAAATAACAGAAATTAGAAATTTCATGCACAATC